TCATTAATATCCTATGGGTCACACGAGGAGAATATCTCAGATGTCACGAGAACATCACCGGGTGTCGGAAATGCACCCGTCCTACGCCCTTGCTAGTTACCGAACCTGCCGACCGGGTTGAGAATCAGAGAGCCCCACCACGATCCTCAGCAATAGGTTATGGACGGCCATTAGGAAGAACGTTAAAGGGCCGCGTAGCCTAGGACCACAAGGTTCTGTGGAGGCAATTGTCGGAATTCACATAAAAAGGAAAGCGTATGAGATAATAATTATTAATAATTATTACTGAAAAGTAATGAGTAGCATGTTTTCATGACATGTACTTATTCGGCGGTGTCCCGTAATGTTGCCTAGTGCTAATCTCAGACGACGTTGTGGCTATACGGATCTCATTTCGTTTTAAACGTGCTCACAGATGGGGACCTGACAACGTCCGCGGGCAGAGCATTCCACGCCTGAATTATGAAAAGTTTACAGGACAACGTAGCCTAGGACCATAACGTTTGGTGGAGGCCATTGTTGCTATTAGCATAAACGGAAAGCGTCCGGAGTAATAACTCTAAACAAATATTACAGAAAACGAAAATCCAAGCATTCTGTAACAGAGTTAACATGGGCGGGGCATGTCAAGCGAATGAACGAATTAGAAAAGTAGAGCGCAGAAAATTTGAAGTAATAGGAAAAAATATTTGAAAAATGGAATGTTTGGTGCGCGGTAAGTAAACAGAGAAAAACGACCAATAGGAAAGAAGAACTGCCCAATGATACCCGCAAATTGGAAACAATCTTATATCGATACTGTATCGAATATAATCCGCGAATTCGATAAAATCGTATATCGAATCTATCTCGACTCCGTTTGTCGAATTTTGGGGTTTTAAGTTAATCCAGGAAAGGTACGCTTATTTCAACCTTTTTTTTAAATTCACTATGGCTTATCAGTCTAAATGCAATCACATGTCACCAAAAAGTAAAACTTTCCAACCAAAAAACTGAACGTAGGACACTAAATAAATCCGTGTAGGAAGTGCAATGTAGGTGGACTGTGTCGTACTTTTGTGGGTGACGGAGAATGCTTACTTCTACAAAACACGTATGGATTTAGGCGGAGTAAGCGTAACGAGACCGTTAGCACCTCGGTTGACCTCAATTGCCTTATAGTAAGTTCTACTGTTAAGATGCCTTCATGATGTAATGCATGTGGGTATCTTTTTGATCGCTTAAAATCGACTAGTTAGTACGTCCTTGAAGCAGCCCCAAATGTCAGAATTGTAAGCGAGAAAGCCAAGAGACTGCATGTTCACTCTGAGTCTTCGTTCGGTACCTAACCCACTTGCATGAAATCCAACTGGGTAAACTAATATTTCTAGTCAACAACTCGGGCATGGAGAGAAAGTGGTCGTAGATCCGTCAACAGCGAGTTACACTGCTAATAGTCTGCTGGAACACAATAAATCCAGGACTCCCTTTGCAAGCTTTCAGTAAACCAAAAACTTTGCTTCTTGCTGAGTAAGATGGCAATCAACATTTTTATAAACAAATGGGTCGCACACAGACTTTAACAAATTTGGTTCAGAAATGTAACTTGTTAAGAGGCTTTATTAAACTGGAAATGAAAGGCGACAACGTCGCTGCTGACTAAATGAATAATTAACTAAAAATTATCTGAATACATATCAACAGTTCAAGCTCAAAATGACGTCGCCTATTACCTGCACCAGTGGAGCTTCCATGAGGGGAGGAGTTCTGAGCGTCAGAACGTGCTGCGATGGTCGTTTCGGTGGTTGCGTAAGGCCATACTTCCAGCTGACCCATCGAATGCACAACGGTCAGCCTGAAGACTCCAAACACACAGTGAAAGGAGGCTCCCTAATTGAACAACTGCAAAAAATGAGAAGTCTCGGAACCTCACGACCAGCTGTATTGGTGGGATCGATAGTTTCAGGAGGAGATACTTCCAGCTGACTCATCAAACGGAGCCCCGGACAGCCTGCAGCCTGTGGGGTTAAAGAACTGAACAAATGCTTAAAGTTCACGTCTTGTGTGCGGTCGCGCCTGCTAAGCACCGACAGTTCAACTATCGCTCTCGACGATGACCACTACGAGCGTCAGCAAGCAGAATCAACGCGTTGACTCCCGCGGGATTATAGTGAAATAATACCTGCGAATAATCTACCCCACTCTCTCATCACTCCCACCCCGCGAACTGGTGTTAAGACAACATTTAAGAAGACCAGAAGTGGGGTAGGTTGCAGGCGGCTGGCGCGGCGAACGCTCAACAAACATAGCAACAAAACTAGAGAGGAGCCCGACTGGAGCGCTACTAAAGCCACATTAGGATTGAGCCAGCTCGCAGTTAGTTACTCTCCACAACTAGAAGATACGCACATGGGGCAACTACGGCGTCCAAATTATCCCGTCAGTTGGCAACCCTTCAAGCCACGGCTTTTAGCGCACCGTGATAGCTTCAAACGCGTCAGATTGTGTAAAGTGAAGGAAAAATGAGATACGGGTCAACCTCACTCTCTCCCCCACCGCCAGCAATTGTCCATTGCCTAGCTGATCGGTTACCTGAGGTGGGATTGTTACAGTACTAGATGGAATGTTTGTACTGTTTTCTTTGCGTCAATTCTGCTTAAAAAATGCAGCCCCCAGCCCTCCCCTCCTCAAAAAATGTTAATTATGGTTAACTATCCAACTGTGTTCACCTACTACAGCATGTTTGACGATGACGAGGTCTTGCAGCGGATACGCAGAGCCATCCTCATAATTGGCGGTATTCTCGCCAGTATGCAGCTGATTGGTTGCATTACCGTTCGACCCAGGCCAAATCCCCCGCCCGTGAGTTTTGCTCAGTATACTGCATATATGCTGCTGGTTTAACGACAGGCGTAGTAATTACACCTTGTATTCTCCTTCACATAGGATGAAATGAGCGTTACCTCGGAAGACAGGACAACTGGGTATGTGTTGTTTGCACTTATGTAGTGTGTATGAACAGCTTTATCAAAAAAAACCGTGGTGACCGCGTGCACGGCCAAAATTGAGGCTTATGGTAATGCCCCCTTAATCTACGGCATGTTGACATGTACCCCCATAATGTACGGTAGGTTTTTTGGGCTCACGCGGAATCGGCCCAGCGTTATTAACGTGTGTCTTAAGGCATTATTGTGCCCAATTTGTTTCAGAGCATCCGTTTAATGGGACATTCCTGTGGACAATAGCCTCAGTCATCTACTGATCTCAAAGGATGCATACACATTCCCGTTATGCAGTTAACCCCGTTAACAATTCGCATGACCATTGTTGATAGCATGGAATTACTTACTTTTATTGACTAACCCATACTTTTGATTTCACGCGTGCTGAGAGTGTTTGCCGTCACACCATCTGGGAAATGCTCACCCAGGTATGACAGCAGGGTCATGAAAATATGATTGCGAACGAGCAAACTAAAGGTATTTATTAGTCCTATCGCCCCCACCACCAAACCTTCAGAAAAGTTGACTGACTGCACACGTAGTTCTTAAATACAGCTGCTCAAAACAGCTGGTAAATGTCATATCTACATGGCGACAACAATCTGAAATGCAGGCGGATACTCTTGTCGGTAAATACAAGGGAGACTTGAATGGCCATTTCTGGCTTATAAGCCATCGTCAGCCTGTCATAGCTAGAAACAAGTGGTGCACCACTCGAGGCGCGAACTCGCAAACATTTCGATCAGAGTCTACCGCCCTCAGCATTGAGCCAAAACTGGCCATTCCAGTTTCCCTTGTCTTTGCCGGCAATACTGTCTGCCTAAAATAATAGCTGTTATGGCTGCTGTCAGGGACCAAGCAGTGGAGAACGCAGGGCAGAGTGAGACAAGTGAATTCCGTTAGCGGTCGGTTAGGGAGTCTGAAACATACTTCAAGGCAGGATTGATAAGTGAGGCCTCAAACACATCGTCAACTCATATTGAAAAGCTACTTCCTACTGTTCAGTAGTGAAACTTTCCTCACAATTTCTAATCCCACCACCAGGAACCTCGTATTGAACCAACGACGAGCGCATGTAAGTTCGGGGGTTGTTCGCTGACCCAGGGCGAGGTCACTGAAGTACATTTTTTATACCACTAAGAACCCGGCGAGCGCGTGTAAGTTACTTCAGTTACTACTACCAAGGAAGGGGGTGTTTGGCAGCCCAGGGCAAGGCCACTGAGACGATGTTTAGATGAGAGCGGCAAAACGTGCGATTTGAGGACGAAAGAAAACCTGCGTGCGAACCAACTCCTGCATCTAAGTGAATCCGCGGCGGAAAAAACGGGAAGTCCTACAACAAAACAGTAAGAAGTAGCTTTTCATTATAAGTGGAAGATATTTTCAGGGCCTCTCTAATGCATCCTACCTTCTGCAAAATGCTAGTGAGGTTTTTTTTTCTGAAAACGCAAATGTACTATTTTTTTCAGTTCAGCGCCCTCGGTTGGAGTGGAAACGGAAACTGCCGTTACTCCGCGGCAGGTATTCAAAATGCTCGATCTGTACATTTTCTGGGCAATTATGCTGTTAACGCTGATTCCCTTCACTCTGGTCTCGTCAACTATGAAGGTAATTCTAGCGCCTGACTGTAACTTTTCTTTGGTTACTCTCTCTTAAAATATCTGCTATGGAGATACATGTAATCAAGGTATGCTGTTTTTTTAGAAGAAATAGTCGAATGAGTGCGCTTTTCAGAGGGGTTACTTTGTTCGCTCATTGCATTTATCAGCTTATTCATATGTTGCGAAATGGAACTTACCGTATCCAACCTGTTATTTTGAATGGAAAGATAACGTTGGATAAATTTACATAAATAACTACTGTATGCATTTCAGTAGGCGTAACTGTGTTTACTGCTGTAGTAAATCCGTTTTCAGCGTTCACTGTTTACTTTTAAATTGTACCAACACACCCGGAATACTTTAAACTCATGTGATTAATTTTAGTGTTATTAGTTTATTATAGTTTAGTTTTTAATTTATTAAAGTTTACCAGTTAAATTTCAATTTTAGTTGTATTAATTTGAACGTTTATTTTAATTTAAGTATAAAGCTTCTCAGCTTATCGCGCTACAAGTACTGCCTAAATTATTTCGAGGCTATTGCTAGTTTTTTTTTAAAAAGGGGAAAAACTTACTGTCCATGTTTTTACTTTAATCTCCAAATAACAATATAGAATAAATATAGAGTTTTAACAATTCGTGGGCAATTTTGCGCAGTTCTTGTTGTCCATTTGTTTTATTTCTCATCCTAATTATTGTGCGAAAACGGTTGCGCAACTATAATAATTATTCCTCTTAGTTTTCGCTTTTATACAGCCCCCCCC